GAAATGTGAAGTATATTATGTACACAAGATATTGAAGCCAATTAGGACTGTAGCTCAAATGAAATATTTCTCGGGAAATGTTGTCGTTAGTTCCTGGAGAGATCCATGTTAGTAATACAATATGTAGGTTGCAGTCTACCACAAACCCGGCAAGGAACCTTCGTATTTAAATTTCAAATCACAAACAGCCCAATCGGACACAACATTTCTATAATTTAACTAGACAAATATGGACACATTGTTCCCTATCATTATTTAAGGAACAAAATATTATCCAAAACTGTGAAATAACAGATTTTATCTTTAAACATTTCTACAATCCATCCTAACAGTATAGTTGCCCACAATATTCACCAGCTCTAATGAAAGATTATCCTCTGTATTAATAAAATATGGAATAAAATGTTCATTTCAAAATTCCCAAACCATAGGCCAGAGAAACCACATAACCAAATCCAATAATAATACAGAGTGGAGAAACAATACTCCTGCCGTCTCTTACATAGGAGAGACCAGCAGATCAATAGACACAAGAATTAAATGCCGTAATATCAGAAACCAAGATAATAAATCCTTAATATTTCAGCACAAAAATTACTTTAGCAAACTGAGAAGCGTTCACCTAGACACCATGGTCTTGAGCTGATGGCCCTCGTCAGCCCAGGGCGGACTTTATTCCATGAGCTCCACAAGGAATCTTCACAATCTGCCAAAGAGGTGTTTAGCTGGCCAGGCCAAATCTATGGCCAAAATATAGATAAAAAGCTGGAGGCCGCTAGTAGTCAACAGATGGCTTCTAGTTTTGACGTCTGACCTTTGATTTTATTGATTCTCCCAGCAAAATTTCCATCCATATATAGAGATATATTTGTTTTGGAAATATATTGGATGGGATGAAAATGTGCCAATGTTTCTTTTAGTTAGTTCTTCCTTATTTTAATCATCAGAAATAACAAATTCCATATTAACTCTATGATACATTACTCAACGTACTTGATAATAAATAGTGTTTCAATTTTTTTACCAAACGACTGCACTTAATAAAAAAACTTCCAAAAAAAATCAATTATTTTACAAACATCGTAACATTAGTTACTCAGATAAATTCTGTCTTTTATTTTAATTTTAAAAAATTGTTGCAATCAAAACAAATTGCTCCTCATTTCTCTCTGAGCCAATAATAAATGGAACAAATACCTAGTCAGTCACAGTGTTACACTACTGTATGTTTTAATAAAAGAAAACAAGACCTAATCCAAATAATTTATTAGTGTGTGACGTTCCGGCAACAACATTGTCACCATCATCAGACAAAAGAATAAACATGACATTTATTCTTTTGTCTGATGATGGTGACAATGTTGTTGCCGGAACGTCACACACTAATAAATTATTTGGATTAGGTCTTGTTTTCTTTTATTATAATCTATAATCCAAATTGTGCTTTATTGTATGTTTGTAAATGGTGGAATCTCGCACAGTTTACCCAACAGGGAATCTGTACCTCTGCTCGGCCTCGAGGGAGCTGGACAAAATGGGAGGTTCCTCCACCTTGTGGGGCTCCTCCTCCTCCGTCGGGGGCGGGGGTGGGGGCGGAGCTTGCTGCGGAGTGGAGGGGGCGGGCTCTGACTTGGGCGGGACTCTACCCAGGGCCCTCAGGAACTCCGACTTGTTCACCTTGGTGCGAGGGGTCTTCACCAGTACCATGTCCAGCACCACACCTTTCTGGAACAACATGTGTGCAATCTGTCCTTCTATCATGAAGACACACTTCAATAGAAATTAAATTATTGAGGACATTCTTACTGCGATGAAAAAGGGAGGGCCATCATGGTTTCTCCACCAGGTTAATCAACCAAACAGCTCTAAGAGTGGATTGGAATATTCTGGCACTTTATTTAGGCACTTCTTTACATACCACGATAGTTCACAAATTCATTAAATTTAATTTGAAGTCTCAAGATATCATTCAACCAGCACGCACCATGCTTCACGTATATTTTCAAAAAGTTGTTTATAACACACAAATAATGTTTTTCTCTCAATATTGTAGGTATTTAAAATATGTAAATAATGTGTTTAGAGCAATCCTTAAATAAATTTAAAAAGACATATATTGGATCAAAATATCATTTATTTTACCAATATTTCAGTTGGCTGAACGCCAACCTTTATCAAGGTGTTATAACATTTTAATGTGTGTCACACCTTGATAAAGGTTGGCATCCAGCCAACTGAAATATTGGTAAAATAAATTATCAAAATTCGAAGCTATTTTAAAGGCGTGTAAGATTCTTTTTGAAATTAAACAAATTCTACTGCCCTTACTTTCGAATTTTGATAACAGATGGCGCGCAAGTGCATCATATTATAAAAATAAATTATATATTTGATCCGATATATGCCTTTTTAATTAAATAATAATGTGTATATAATAATAGTATTTAACATTAATTTGTTAACGTGATAATCCTGTTGAAGGACTGACAAGTCTGAAAATAAAAGGTTGTACAAGAAACTTAGCCCTGGAAGCTTTATTTATTTTATAACTTATTTACACGGCCGTGATAGAAGTCACTATGTAATGGGAACAGACCAAAGTTTAAAGTTTCATATTGAATTTACATGGGACAAGTTCAGTGATGGCAAGTTCATTGGTGGAACAACAAAATTACAAATGTCCATGACATTATGGCAAGGAAGGGTTTAGAAAAATGTTTTTAAAAAATGGTGGCTTCCACTTGTGTTGTGTTCTCTACCTAACAAAAATAGCACTTGACGAACACCATAAGGTATAAACTATTTATTTCTATAAAAAAGATACTTTCACTCTCCTCTTACACTCTATATACATCCAATCATTTTACATATTTAATTTTCTATCAGAAAATTAATACATATCTACATATATGCTGCATTTTTTTCTTTAAGAATAAAATTTGCATATGGAATCATTACACACTGATAGCATGGAAAATTAATAAATATTATATTTTGGAAGCACCATGAGGAGGAAGATGAAAAAAAAAAAAAAGAAGTTGAGGCCGGATTTACAAAAGCAAATATATAATTGTTGGAGATATAAAAGATAAATAATGAAACTGAAGCATTGTTTGAGGTCTTGTGTTCCTGTATGGATGTGAAACAATGACCAAATAACTGGAATTGGACATCATGTCAGACAGATGGGGAGACAGACATAAGATGAAGTGGTCAAAGTTGGCAAGTGGGAGATTGACCACACTGGAAGAATGAAGGAATGGGATCATTGGATGGCCTGGAATTATAAGATAACAGGACTGCCTTCCATGAAGGCCCTGTATGCTGGAGCATGTGACATCCCAACTTTAATACTCCAATAATCCAATCTAAAATTATTGTTAAATACAAATGGGGAAGTTTAGACAAAACTAGACAATTTTTTTAAAAAATCATTTTGATAATATGAAATCAAATTAACTATAAAATTGGATTTGAGAAATTCTAATATTGGGGGTTAGATCCAATTAAATTCCACAAGACTGGCGAATACTACAGGTGTATTTAGGACTGGAAATACTCAAGTCAAACTAGGTAGGTGTCTTAAATGGAGTCAGGGGCAGTCAGCCTACCTTAGGAGTGTTGGAAGGCTTGAGTGGAGTGCCGGGGGCTTTCTTGGCCAGCGGAGTTTTGGAGGGCTGTAAGGGAGTGCTCAGGAAGCCTGGCTTGTTGTTGTTGTTGTTGGCTGCCGCAGAGCTGCTCACTGCCCACACACAGGTAAGTAGTGAACCACACAACAACACAGTCCTGCTGAACTTCCATAGGAATCATTTCTATAAGTAACCGCAGTTGGCTGAGTCAAAGCTGACATAGTCTGTGTGTGGGGACATTATGGGTTGGCCAGAGTGTGCCCCAGGTCTGTGATACTGGAAGTAATTATCAAAACAATTAACACTTGATATAACCAAGTTGAAGTTATAAGAGGCTGTTATGTTCCCCATTGTATCTGGTCTTGTTGTCCGTTAAATGCACTATGGTACAACCAGGACTCACATAAAGTGTCCAGGGGGCTGCTGTCCCCACTGGAGGGCCGCCGGGCTAGCTGCACCCTGCGTGTAGAGTTGCTCCCATTAGTGCCAGCCAACACGGGGCAGGGTTTCTCCCACACCCCGCCGTTGAGGGGAGCCGCGGGTGGGTCCTGGGTGCCCTGGAGTGATGGCTAGACACACAGTCCCGTGCTGACATCCACAATGTTATTGCAGGGGGCGGCTCAGAGGAAGGAGCTCAATACAAATGTTTGGCAACTCTGAGCTAGTCAGCCCCAATATTGATGGCAAGATTATCTTTTATATATTTTATTTTGAAATAAAAAAAATTGGAGCATATTTTGTCATTTCCTCCATTTTTATTAGTTTTTAAAAATTACACTTCATTATAACATAACCTGGGGTCAAGATTTTTTGTCGTTGTAACAATGAATTCATATAATCATGGTTAAAATAATTTGTGAACTTGACTTTAGAATGTTATAACCAAGTGGTGTTATAGTGATTTTAGTGGAAAAGTCTCAAGTCTGGAAAATTGGGATCATCCAAGTGATGAATTGGGGCAATAAATAGCGGAAGACCTGGTTTAATCTTGAATTAATCCTGCTAGATCTTTAGAAATATGTAAATCCAAAAGACAAAAAACCTCTCGCAATCAGTATCTTTTAAATAATAGATACTGTATAAAAGATACTGATTGCGAGAGGTTTTTTTGTCTTTTGGATTTAATTTTATGCGCAAGTTCTTTGATCTTAGAAATATGTAAACAAAGACTGACCAACTTTGGACACATAATGAGAGAAAATGGATTATAAAAGATGTTTATAAAACGAAAATTGCAATTATACCGCGAATGTTTCTTTTAAACAAAAATCGAAATCTATTTTAAAGGGAAATAATGATTATTTCTAACTTTAAGGATGAAGTATGATAGGATGAATTGTGAAGAGTAATGACAAACGGAAAAATAAAAGTGTCCAGGGGTGGGAATCGAACCCACAACCTTCTGCTTACCGGGCAGGTGCCATGTCCACTAGGCTACCCTGGACGTATTTTTCCGTTCGTAAATAATATTTAAAGTAACTTATAATACATTTAAAATACAATTTCTCTTATTTGTTATTTCTCTTTAAAATAGATTTCGATTTTTGTTTAAAAGAAACATTCGCGGTATAATTGCAATTTTCGTTTTACAATCATCAGCCGCGTTATATTGTATTTTAAAAGATGTTGATGTTGGGAAAAATTGAAGGAAGAGAGAAAGATCTCCAATGAGCTGGCTGGGTCAAGAAAGCTACAGGAAGGTCACTAGATGGGAGTGATGGTCACTAACAGATCCAATTGAAGGAAGAGAGGAAGATCTCCAATGAGCTGGCTGGGTCAAGAAAGCTACAGGAAGGTCACTAGATGGGAGTGATGGTCACTAACAGATCCAATTGAAGGAAGAGAGGAAGATCTCCAATGAGCTGGCTGGGTCAAGAAAGCTACAGGAAGGTCACTAGATGGGAGTGATGGTCACTAACAGATCCAATTGAAGGAAGAGAGGAAGATCTCCAATGAGCTGGCTGGGTCAAGAAAGCTACAGGAAGGTCACTAGATGGGAGTGATGGTCACTAACAGATCCAATTGAAGGAAGAGAGGAAGATCTCCAATGAGCTGGCTGGGTCAAGAAAGCTACAGGAAGGTCACTAGATGGGAGTGATGGTCACTAACAGATCCAATTGAAGGAAGAGAGGAAGATCTCCAATGAGCTGGCTGGGTCAAGAAAGCTACAGGAAGGTCACTAGATGAGAGTGATGGTCACAAACAGATTAAATGGGAGAATCCACAGTCAACTTGATGGATGCCAACAACAACATTTCTGTTAAGTATTGAGAGAACCAAGTAGTGTAGGCTCAAAATTATTTCAAATGTTAACGCTAAATCGTACAGTAGAATGACACCCCTGCTCTAGAGGCCATCCCTCTACAAAGGACAGTTTTCAAATGACCATTTTGACTAATTAGATATATAGTCTCCAGTAGAGGACATCTCTCCCACCAGCCCTGCAGCCAGGTGTCCTTTACACCTACTGTAATTCTTTTTTTTTTAAAGAGCAAATAAAAAATAAATAATTTTAGATGGCAACAAATAGTGGCTGGAAATATGGGTTTCTCAATTAATCAAATTGAAAAGTAAAACTCAGTGGCAACAATAACACTGCATCCATTCTATTGGCTAACTGAGACTTCACACCTATCAACATATTCCTCCTGTTATAGTGCTCCAGTCTTTATAATATTTCTTATAAAACATTTACAAAACTTTTATAAAATAAGAAAAAGGCATCTCCTGATGGCTAGCACCATATGTCAGAATAAATATCAACTCATCGTTAATTATCCATAATTGGCCAAATACCTTTTCTTAATTAATCAATAAAAGCTAACCATGTACATGTTTGGTCCTCATCAGCAAACTGTACTTCAATGACCAAAAAAACTGGTCTGAGAGGCATCCATGAAACGGGTATTTAAGGCCGGAAGTGTGTGAGAACGCCAAACAATAAACTTTTACAAAAGCTGATTGTGAATTGCTTGCAGTAGAGTACGGCTTGATGCATCTACTTGAATGTAGTGCACCCGGTACCCGACCGTAATCTATCCCTGGAGTACCAACCCTAGCACAGTGTGGAAAATCATTTAAATACAATTTATATTTTGTTACAGAATTTTAAACTCAGCTTAATACAAAACACCTCTAATAATTCTATTCAGTGGAAGATGAGCCAATAAACCTGAACTTCTGCCACTAGGCCCAGCTGGTTCGACCTTTCTGCCCAGAGAACTTTGTTCCTAAAGGTGGACTGATGGTTCCACACTCTGCGAGTTCTGCAAGGAATGTTTTATTGCTGGAGCTTCCTCTCTGTCTGTCATCCCCTCTTCCATCCAGTGATGTGTTGCCAGCAGGGAACAACTACATGGTTTAATGTTTAAGTCAAACATTGGATTCAAAGTTGACAAACCTCCAGTTAGTTACCATTGGCTGTGATTCAGATAATTGTTGTAAACAAGACTGAGCAACAACATTGTGTCACATCCAGCCAGGACCCGATGTATCATACCATTAATATAGACACCATACAATTATAAAATAGTTTTGATTAAAGCTAAAATACAATTTGGATTAAAGACTAGAAACATAAGGTAACAAGACAATAAATAAATAGTGTGTGATGTTACAGTAACAACACTTACCGAAATGTAAAATGTTATTTATTTAAATTTGGTCTTGTTTCTTATGTTTTGATTAATGAAATTTTATAATTATTTGATGTTTTGAAATGTAGCCAGCTATTACTGAACAATATAAAAAATATATGTAGTCACTTGTGTCTGTTGCTTGAAGGTATTGATTAAAACACTTTCAAAGTTAAGAGACCCTGATGACGGCCTTGAAAAATATTGGATTTTTAAAATAATGTTTATTTTATTTTTGATCACCTGCATGTACATAAATATGCAGACAAAAGAATAATAGAAATATGTGACAGAGAAGAGCTCTGGAATTTCTCAATTCAACAGTTTCATTGTATCATCCGCTTCTACAGAGAACCCTCAACTCTCTTCACCCTATTTATTGCAGGCATAGAAGAAAAAATTTCACATAAAACCAATATTGGACTTTTTGCTGATGACATTATTCTATGGAGCAGTAACACTAACTGGAAAAAAGCTGAAAGGGATTTGAACAAGACTCTTCTCCACCTAGAAAAATTTGCTAATAAACATAAATTAGAATTTAACCCCCAAAAATCTGAAACCTGTCTTTTTACTACCGATAAGAAACTATACAAAATAAGGCCAAAAATTATTCTGAAAGAACAACAATTACAATATAATAAACATCCTAAATATCTTGGCTACACCCTGGATCCAGAAATTAACTCCAGTAAACATATTGAAGAAGTTATTAGAAAAGGAAGAGACCGACTAAAAATCCTGAAATATATTTCAGGAAGAGAGTGGGGAGCCGATGCAACCACACTAAAATTAACTTACACATCTCTAATTAGACCTATCCTGGAATATGGATATCAAATCTATGGTACAGCATCTGAAACAAATCTAAAATCACTGGAAAGGATACAACTAAGTGCAGCTAGAATTATTACAGGTCTTCGAAATACCTGCCCTAACGATATTGTACTTTACGAGGCAGACATTATGCCCTTAAAGGATAGAAGAAGCTACAATCTGCCAAAATATATAAACAAAATCAAGAGTTATGGAAACAAACACAGAACTTCCAATTACATACTTAATTGGGAATCCAATCTAAGACTCAAAAAAGAAGGCCCTCTCCACCTGGCCAAAAGAAATGGATTTTTAAAATATAAAGTAGAAAAAAATTATTTAGCAGAAAAAATTTCTCCATGCGAACCACTACAAAATGTTATTTTTAATGCCTCCTTAAATGAACCCACCAACAAACAATGCCAAAATCCAGAATACTTAAAACAATTATCATTGGAAATAATTAATAACATTCCTAAAAATGCAATAACTATTTATACCGATGGTAGCAGAGATGAGCTAGGACACACTGGCAGTGGCTGTCTCATCAAAACCACAAATGGCATTGAGAAAATGAACAGAAGAAACCCAGATTTTTGCTCAGTCTTCAGATCAGAACTTATAGCCATCTATGAAGCCTTAAAATCCATCAGAAATACTAATTATCAAGATATCTGGATTCTTACTGATAGTAGAAGTGCCATACAACACTTGAGTCACACAGGGGAACTTAGAGACAAAGTAAGCAGAAACATAATTGGCTATCTCCAAAAACTCTCAAAAACCTCAAAAATTCACCTTCAATGGATACCCTCACATGTTGGAATTGAAGGCAATGAAGCTGCTGATGTGCTAGCGAAAAAAGGCACAAAAGAACCCTTGCCACAGAAAAATAAACTCACTTTTAAAGAAATAGAAACAGTAGCCAAAACAAAAATAAACAAGAACTGGAGGATCCCACCTAAGAACAGTTGGTACAGTGGAGTGAACCCAGGAGGAGCTCTGAACATCAGAAATAGACAGCATCAAACAACACTAACAAGATTTAGAACAGGCCATCTCAAGCCATTGAAGATAGAAAATAATAACAAAATCTACCCCACTTGCCCAAAATGTAGCTTGTCACCTGCAGCTCCAGAACACATTTTGGCTTGCATTAGATGCACTAAACAGGACCTTTGGGAGAGGCCGCTGCTCATCATAAAACAGCTCGAGGAGCATGAACTCATGGAATTCGTGTAATCTTTACACAAGGGGATAAGAAACAACAACAACAACAACAACAGAGAACCCTGTCTGGGGGAGGATTTTCTTAAGGTGGGAGAGCCTCCCTCCCTGAATAAATTATGTTGCTGTTGTTTCTTATCCCCTTGTGTAAAGATTACACGAATTCCATGAGTCCATGCTCCTCGAGCTGTTTTATGATAAGCAGTGGCCTCTCCCAAAGGTCCTGTTTAGCGCATCTAATGCAAGCCACAATGTCTTCTGGAGCTGCAGGTACCAAGCTACATTTTGGTCAAGTGGGGTAGATTTTGTTATTATTTTCTATCTTCAATGGCTTGAGTTGGCCTGTCCTAAATCTTGTTAGTGTTGTTTGATGCTGCCTGATGTTCAGAGCTCCTCCTGGGTTCACTCCACTGTACCAGCTGTGCTTATGTGGGATCCTCCAGTTCTTATTTATTTTTGTTTTGGCTACTGGTTCTATTTCTTTAAAAGTAAGTTTATTTTTCTGTGGCATGTAATTGTATATTTCTATATCATTTTTTGTTTTTCACCATTGGCTAGCAGTCAATAAAGTTGTTTACATTGTCAATACATCCCTCTATTGTGTGTATGATATACAAGGTGGATCAAACACTGAGGCTGTAACTTTATTCACACAAAATACAAGTTTCAATAGTTTTCGCAATAAGACCATTCTCAATGCACCTTTGACATATTTCTTCCAACTTTGGAAACACTTGGAATCTTTCTGTGAGTTCTCTCTAATGAC